CATCTTCTTGATCCAGTCATCTATTTTTGGGCATTTGGGTTGTTTCCAAAGCTTAGCTATTGTAAACAGTGCTGCTATAAACATAGGAGTGCAGGTGCTCTTTGGAATTGATGTTTCTGTGTCCTTTGGGTAAATACCTAGGAGTGGAATTGCTGGATCATATGGAAGCTCTATGTTTAGTAGGTCCAGAAATCTCCACACAGCTCTCCATAGTGGTTGGACCAGTTTGCACTCCCACCAACAGTGCACAAGAGTTCCTTTTTCTCCACATCCTCGCCAACATTTGTTGTTGCTAGTTTTTTTAATATGTGCCATTCTCACTGGTGTGAGATGGTATCTCATGGTAGTTTTGATTTGCATTTCCCTGATTACAAGTGATGTTGAACATTTTTTCATATGTCTGTTGGCCATTTTCATTTCCTCTTCAGAGAAGTTTCTTTTTAGCTCTTCTGCCCATTTTTTGACTGGATTATTTTCTTTGTTGTTGCTGAGTCTCATCAGCTCTTTGCAGATTTTTGTGATCAGTCCTTTATCATTAGTGTTGGGTGCAAAAATGTTCTCCCAGTTGGTGGGTTTCTCTTGTTTTTGTTATTGTCTCTTTTGCTGTGCAGAAGCTCTTTAATTTGATGTAGTCCCAGCTGTTTATCTTTCTCTTCACTATCACTGCTTTGGGTGATGTGTCTGTAAAGATGTCTAGTTTTATTAAATTTCCTTCCCATTAAAGTCTCCTATGTTTTGTGTTGATGCGGCGGATGGCAGAACCCATTTAAAATAGGCAGGTTTGCGGGGTTTGGGCTGCCCCTCTCCCTGTCCTATAACACTTGGACCTTAATTTTCTTTTTCACTGTACTCATCTCTGTAGAAGTGAGTACATTTAATTTCGGACTGAGTACATTTACTTTCGGTCTGGTGGAATATTCATGGCTGTTCTGAATAAGTCGATCCATGGAGGAAGAAAGAGGAAAAAGAGTCTCTATGTGACTTTTGCAAAGATGCCTAATTATTTCAGGCCCATACATCTCAGGTGTTGGTGAAAAGTGCCTAGAATCAGATGCTTATGAACAAGGCAGGCTTTGGGGACAAACTAGACCCACACTTATGTTGTTGAGTGAGGGAGAAAGAAAAATCAAAGAGCTACATTGTAAGAAAGGTGGAGATTTGAGCATGAAAGTCACAAAAAATGAAAAAAAAAAAAACGAGGTGAGGTCACCTCTGTAGTAACAGGAGCCACCCAGCATAATATAGCAGAAGGTGAAAATTTATGTAATTTTATTTATGTAAAAGCATTTACATGCTTTCAAAGACAAGCTATAAAATAAGACATTCAGAAAAATCTAGCTTTTATCCTTTTCCTTTGCCTTGTTTCCTCCTCCCTCCTTAAAAAAAAAAAAAACATTTAAAATTACTTTTTATTTACCATTTAAAGTATATGTATGTCTGTATTTATAAAATGTGTAAGTTGCACATGCATATAAATTTTCCATATGCATGTATATACATCTCCACATTTTAGCATACAATTTAGCATGCTAAAGATATTCTAATGAAATTCCTGTTTCACTTATCATATACCTTATAGATTTTTTTCAGAGCAGTAGTTGGAAATATTTCTCAGTCATTTATATAGTAGCTTAATGGTGTATAATATATGCACATAATTTATGTAGTCCTTATTGTCATTTGGGTGTTTTCCATTCTTTTGCATTTAAAAATGATGCACCAACAAGTAACCTTGTACATTGATAATTTTATATTTTTTGCAAATATAGAGAATAGAAATAGAATTGCTGGACCAAAAGTTAGTAGCATAGTCAATTTTGCAGAAATGTCAAGAATTTATACCATTTTTTATTTTCATCAAGAATCCTTGTAAATGCCTTTTATAGCTTTATCAACAAGTTATATTGTTAAATATTGACATCAGATGTTTGATATCTTTCAAGTCAAAATTAATGTTTTACTTTAGTTTTACTCTGCATATATCTTAATATGAGAGAGTTTGAACATTTTTTCATGTGTATAGAATTATTTATCTCCTTTATATGAACTGTAAATTCATTTATTCTGCCCATCTTATGCTTTCTTTTTTTAGAAGTTCTTTGTGTATTAAAACTATTAATCTTGGGCCTCCCTGGTGGCGCAGTGGTTGAGCTCTGGGCTACGAAGCTGCCCGCAGCCTCTGTAGCGCCGGTTCGATCCCTGACCACAGGGGAGGGTCCCACATGGCGCGCAGACCTCGCCTGCCATGCCCGCTGCTCCCCTCAGCAGTGTACTTCGTCAGTCTGCCTGTTCTGCTCCCGGCTCTGGCTCTGGTGAATTCTCTCAGCCTCCCGCACTTCTGACTGTACCCAGTACTTGTATAAATAAATAAATAAATCTTTAAAAAAACAAAAAACTATTAATCTTTTGGGCCTCCCTGGTGGTGCAGGTCATTGAGCACAGTGCTGTGAGGCTGTCCGCAGCCTCTGCAGTGGCGGTTCAATCACTGCCAGTAACGGAGTGGCCCACATGGTGTGTCAGACCTTCCTGTCTCACCAGCTACTCCCCTCAACAATGTGTTTTGGTCAGTCTGCCTGCTCTGTCTCTGGTGAGTCTTCTCACCCTCCCACACATCTGGCCTGTACCCCAGTTCTTTTAGAAATAAAATAAATCTTAAAAAAAAAAAACTATCAATCTTTTGATGTGGGTTGAAAATACTTTCCCCTAGTGTATGATTGATCTTTTTTACTTTTCTCATAGTTTTATGATGCAGTGAAATCTTTAATTTTATGTTGTTAAATTTATTGATAAGTAGTTGATACTGTACAGTAGTATAGTGGTAATATTGATAAGTAGTAAAATATTGATTGTAGTTAATAAGGTTCATGTTATCAATATTTATTATATCCATGGATTATAAAGATATTTGTATTTTAAAATTGTTTATGTAGATTTATATTTGAATACATTGAGAAATTGTCCTGGCATGAGGATTAGTTCCAATATATCTATCTTTTTCCATCTTACTATTCAGTTATTGCACTATCGTATTAATAGGTCCTTCATTTCTCCACCAATTTGAGAGACTATAATTAATCATATACTAATTTTCTTCTGCTTTTAAGCTACTCATGGAGTTTCTATTCTCTTTTTTCTGGGTAAACATAATCCTAATCCTTTCATCATCTGGTTCTCCTTATTAATTCACACCACACTTTGAAAAACTACATTCCTTTTATACTTAGAATTAGTAATCATTAGTGATTCTTACCACAGAACAGCTATTTGTCACTCACTTGTCAAGCATTTCTTTAACCAATACTTTCCTCCACTTCTACATCGTCTTTTTGGCATCCTTCCTAGGGGGATAGAGTATCTGTGCATGAGTACATGCTTTCACATAAATCTGTACGCTTCCACTTAACTGCTATGCCCTCAAATGAACATCTGTTAAAACTGGAATGGGCCCTATCCCTTGAGCATGTGGCATAAAATAAATGTTGAGAACTTGGCTTGTGGATATATAGAATTTATATGATCTTAATAATAATTAGTTCCTAATAATTATTGAATCCTGAAAATATGCCACCAAATATGCTACTTACCCTATTGTTTCATTACCCTTAAATAATCTTGTGTATAAGAATTATCTCCCTTTTACATATATGAATACTGAAAACTGAAGCTTATGAATGTTAAACAATGTGCCCATTGCTATGGTTTGTACGGCTAAGTAGAGTTGAAGCCATCTCTTTTTAACTTGGAAATTTTTGCTTTTAATAGACTATTGTGAAGGACTATGATGCTCTGGTGGTAGGAAAACTAGGGTGACCACACTTGAGGGGAGAAATGCCATATTGTGAAAAACAAAGCAGGATATAAAATAACGACACATCGTTAAAAAAAGAAAAACAAACAAACACACAATCTTGCACTCTTAAAAACTAACAGTGGAAAATGACATAGATAGGTCCAAATGATATACTTTGTGCTGACATGCTGAAAAACTTGGATCTCTCTAAATACTGTTTATTGCTCTGTGAGCAGATATATACCAAAATATTATAGGTATCTATAAGGCAAATTTCTTGTTGTCAGACTCACTCTTCCTATAACTCTTTAGAAAGTACTTCATGCCTGTTATAGTGATAGGTAACATAATATTATAGTAATAGGTGACATAGTGTTACAGTGATAGGTGGTGAACTTAAATTCAGAATAGGAATTTTTTTTAAACCTCATAAAAATAATAATTAAAATGTGGATATGATGAATAACTTTATATGCATGGTATTCACAACTTAAAAATCAATGTTATATAATAATTTTTGTAAGCATTTGATAATATTTTGTTAGTTTTTTAAGATGTTTGATGTACTTTAGGAAATCCAATGTGTTTGTGTTTAATTAATTAAATATATAAAAGTACTCAATGTAGACTGTTACTAACACTTAAATGTTTAGGAAAAATTGTTTTCTTAAAATCACCTCACCAGCTTTTCCTTTTTGAGTTATGTACATACAGCATTTAAAGAGAAATGCTGATTATGAAGATATAAAAATAATGCTAATTTCATAATAATTTTATTAGATGGTCAAAAAAAAAGTTGACATATATTTTTTATCACTAAGTGTAGCTTTTGGTTAGGTGTGTGGCACCTTTATGAGTTTAGGGAAATTGAGCCAAACAAAAATCTAACAAAATCTTAGAAACTAGGCTAGTTTTTATCTTCTCTTACCCTCTGTGTCACTCAGGAACACAAAGGGCTGTACAAATTCTAACACATTTATGTCTTTCATATTTCTGAGAATTAGTGAGATATTTGCAAAGCATGATATTAAACTTCCATCTGTACCTAAATATTTAAAGTACAAGATTGTCAAAGGGTAAATTGAGGCAATGTATGTAAAAGTTCTTTGACAATTGCTAAGAAAATGAAAGGTAAAATTTTCATGACCTTTACTAAGTAATTTACCAGTTTGATAATATGCTATGTCCTTATCTCAGATTGGTCTAAGATCTAAGATTTTATCCTAGAATTCACATTCCATTTTCTCAGCCGTTTCATTGCACTTTTCATGTCTTTGTTCCTCAGTGTGTATATTATTGGATTCAAGAGAGGAGTGACCACAGAATAAAACACAGCAAGAAATTTATCTAATGATTTGATGGGGAATGGCCAGGCATAAATGAAGATACATGGTCCAAAGAACAAAAGAACAACTGTGATGTGAGCAGATAAAGTGGACAGAGCCTTAGTAGACCTGTCTGAAGGGCGATGCAGGATGGTCGCTAAGATGATAGTGTAGGAGACAATGAGGAGAGCAAAAGAACACACAGTGAGCACACCGCTGTTAGCGATGACCATGATATCCAATCTGTATGTGTCTGTGCAGGCAAGCTTGATGACCCTAGGAAGGTCACAATAAAAGCTGTCAACTTCATTGGGACCACAGAAGGGTAAGTTCACTGCAAAGGCCAACTGGCTCACTGAGTGTAGGAAGCCAGTCCCCCATGCAGCTGTCACAATGCCAATACATACATTGCCTCGCATAATTGTAGTGTAGCGAAGGGGTTTACAGATTGCTATATATCTGTCAAAGGCCATGGCTATAAGGATCACCAACTCAGTCCCACCAAATAAATGAAGGAGAAATATTTGAGTAAGGCAGCCCTTATAAGAGATAACTTTGCGTTTACGGAAAAAGTCCGCAATCATCTTAGGGGCTGTAACTGAGGACAGACACAGATCAACGAGTGAGAGGTTAGCGAGCAGGAAGTACATGGGTGAGTGCAGGTGGGAGTCAGAAGTTACAGTTGTGACAATAAGAAGGTTTCCAAACACAATTCCTATATAGAATACAAAAAAGAACACAAATAGGAAAATCTGCAGTTCCTGAGAATCGGACAGTCCCAAAAAAATGAACTCAGTCACCATGGAGTGATTTGTTTCACTTATTGATTTGTTCCAGGAAATAATCTCTGTAGTCACCTTGGAGAAGATAATAAGAAGGAAGTCAGAGTTATATTGAAATTCAAAGCTTCATTTTCAATAATTCTGCTCACTCATAATGACTTTCTATAGTTTGTTATAAAGATATTCAAAATGCAAGCAATGTAGACTCAACATATTATCCCACACTCCCCCACTGACTATGCCTTATATTCATATATTCCAAGTTTTTGCAGTGTTTGCACTTTTTGCTGGGCATATTACTAATAAAATTGCTGTCCATTGTACTCTCTAAGTCCATACTATCACCTACCTTTATCCCCTTTTTTTGTAAATCTAAAAACAGCTTATATTCTTAGCCCACATCTTAGCTCTTATATACAAAAATTGTATGAGCTTCATATTTACCAAGGCTTTTTTTTAATGTATAGTAATTGGAAATCCATCACATTCAAACAAATCCTCATTTACAATTTTGCTATGTGAGGCAGTTATATGGGTTTGTATATAGTATTTATTTTTAATTTTTTATTATTTAAATTTTATTGAGGTAAAATTGGTTTACAATACTTTATGTAATTCAGACATATAGTACCACACCTCTTAAGATGTATGTTACCACACCATACCCACAACCAAGGTACCCATAGTCTTCCACCATAATCCATTAGGACCCCTCCATACTTTGCTTTCCACAATCCCCCTACCCTTGTAAGTTTAATTCTGCAGACAGATTTCTAGGGTTTGTTAGTAGATTGCTTTTGACTGACCCTCTTTTTTGGTTCTTTATATTCCATATATAAGTGAAAGCATGCAGTACTTGTCTTTCTCATTCTGTTATTTAGCCTAGCATTATCCCCTCCAGTTCCATCCATGTTGTTGGAAATGATGAGTTCATATCATCAAACAAATAAATGCAAATCAAAACCACAATGAGAAGGTCTCTCTGGTGGTGCAAGGGGTTAAGCACTGCACTATGAAGCAGTCCGCAGCCTCTGCAGCACGAGTTTGATCCCCGGCCAGCCAGGGAGCAACCCACATAGCGCAGCAGACCTCTCCCTACTCACCTGCTGCTCCCCTCAGCAGTGTGCTTCGGTCAGTCTGCCTGTTCTGTTCCCCACTCTATCTCTGGTAAGTCCTCTCACCTCCTGCATCTCTGACCTGTATCCCAGCTCTTGTATGCATAAATGAATAAATCTTTTTTTTTTTAAACCCACAATGAGATACCATTGCACACCTCTGAGAATGACACAGATCAAAAAGTCCAGAAACAAGTGTTGGTGAGGATGTTGAAAAAAATAAACACTTGTACACTGTTGGCAGGATGTAGACTAGTCAATGCCTTATATGAAAATAACATGGAGGGTTCCTAAATATTAAAAATAGATCTACCATATGATCCAGCAGTTCTACTCCTAGGTATCAAACCTAAGAATACAAAAACACATATAATGCACTTCTGTATTCATTGCAGCACTATTTACAATAGTCAACTTGTATAAACAGCCCAAGTGCTCAAGGACAAATGAGTAAGTTGTGGTATATATAGTCTTTGGAACTTGGACCTTTTTAAGACTTATTTTACCACTTTTGTGAATGTAGATACTAGTTATGTTCACTTCTTATGGTTATTTGAATTTCAAATGAAATAGTAAATGTTTGTTTTGCACAGTTTTTATATTTAATAAGTGCTCAATAGATTTAGATAGTTATCAGTAATTAGATTTATCATCTTCTGATTAATAAATCCTATTTGCACAATAATCATTAAACATTTTTACTTGTATTCTGGAAATAGCAATCATAATAAAATAATTGGTTGTCACTTTCCTATATACCTTTGTTCCCATCTTTAGAAGAGTGCATTGGACCAAAAATTCTCAAAATCGGGCCTCCCCAGTGGCACAGCGGTTGAGCGCTGGGTTGTGAAGCTGCCTGCAGCCTCTGCAGTGCCACTTTGATCCCCGGCCACCGGTCGAGGGTCCCACATGGCACGCAGACCTTTCCTGCCGCCCGCTGCTCCCCTCAGCAGTGTATTTCAGTCAGTCTGCCTGTTCTGTTTCCCTCTTTGGCTCTGGTGAATTCTCTCACCCTCCCGTGCTTCTGACTGTACCCAGTGCTTGTATAAATAAATAAATAAATAAATCTTTAAAAAAAGAATTCTCAAAATCCTTGTTACTCTAAAACTCTTTGGGAATGAGGAAGGATGCAATTTCAGAATAATTCTTATAGCTTCTAGGAACTTTTGTGGAAAACATAGAAGACTAAGACAGATGTAGAGATTCAGCCATAGAGGAAGTTTAAGTTAAACAAAAATGCTTAGAAAAAGAAGTTAAGCCAAATTCAAAGGTGAAAATAAAATAACAATAAATAAAATAACAGAAAAATAATTTAAAAACTGAAATAAAGGATAAAAGAAAGGGAAGTCATAGCTGAAATAAAAAAGTGAGAAAGATGTAATAAAATGTGCATGAAATGTAAAGGAGTTTAAAAGAAGATAAAATTGAAAAATGGTTTTGTCATGCCTACTAAGAATTTTTTATTTATTATGAAATAGTGAAGAATTACTGAAGAATTATGAGCATTTTTAACAAATTGTAGTCAGTGCAGTGCACAATAGCCATTACTAAGGTAGTAAGACAGATATTTGTGAACAGGATGTGGAATATGAAAAATTATGAGGCTAATGCTTTTATTCTGAGTAATGGTGAGCATTGTCATCATCTTATTTCTGATGATATTTTGATGATCACTAGTATGGCAATATATGACATGAATTACTTTTACAATAGGAATAAGTTTGGAAGGAGGTAAAGGAAAATGATAGTTGTCTACACATCTAGGAGTATTGTTGGGGCATCCTTTTAAGTGGCTGTCTACTAAGCTAGAGTGAAAAGTGACTACACAAATGACTTATAAGCTATTCCACTTGTTTTTGGCGAGAGAAAACTACTGTTTCAAGCATTTGTTCAGTAAGAGAAATGGTAGCCAGAAGTAGAAACATGGCTATCAGAAGACTTGTAGGATAAGGTGTAGTGATTAAGTCAGCAAGCAAGTAAGATGTAAAAGAGAGGAGGGGAAAATGATAAGGGAGACATGAGTGGATAAAGGGTTATTCCTGTTAAATTTCTTAGTGAGCTGATTGTCCATGTTTTGTTCTCTTAATCACAATTATACCATATCCCATACACCTTTCTCTTCATTATCCTGAATCTCATTCCTCAGCCCTGTCCAAAAAGCTCATATTACCGTTTTCAAAGTTCTCTAAAATTTAACAATTTAAAAATTTTTCCCAGTATAAAAAAGAAGTCTAAGGGTAGTCATGAACAATCATTTTCCTTCTCAGCATGGTAGGGAAAGAGTTAAGAGAACACTCAATTTGGGGAAATATGAATAAAAGGAACCTCAATTAGAGAGGAAATAATAGATTAGTCTAGAAAGTTCAGAATTGGACAGTTGTTGCTAATATAATACAGCAAGGGCTATCCTGCTAATGTTATTTATACCAACTCTTGTAAGTCCTTAAGCCAACCTCATGAGATTATTCCGTGTTTCCTGAAGCTAAACATGCAGTTGAATTTTGCAGAGTATATTATTTTTAATGACAGCATCTCATTTCCAATAAAATGCTATAATTTGTTTCATTCTGCTAATGTATTTGCTTTCACCATTTCACTTACCTCCGTCATAACTGGAAGATACTCGGCAACCTTCAGAGCAAAGAAGATTACAGATTTTCCTTCTATTTGTATCTCTTATAGCATAAAATTTCTGACAGGAAAAATCTATATGAATTGTCCTCCTTAGTAAACCACTTGATTAGTTAAGAGTAATTAATGAAAGTGACCAGGGGCGGGTGAAGTGAACTGGAAATAGCCCGCCTGAGCATTGAGTACCGAGGCAGCTTTTATACGCTAACAAGTCCTCTCATGAGGAAACACACAGCTGCTTCTTGAGTTAAAGGCAGTTGTCACTATTTCTTGGCTTACTTAGGTGTCTTTACTACCTTACACTTTTTAAGATTTGTAGTAAACTACTTAAAATAAGATAAAGAGGCAAAATTAAAATCCAAAGGGACTAATAAGACAAAAAGTAATAATGCTTCAGAGTTTGATAGCATAAAATTCTAATGATCGATTTGTGGATAAAATATAAGAAAAACATCTTAACCATTAATAAGAAGACTCATGTCATTTATTATTTTATTGAGTACCTCTAATTATCATTAAAAGTTGAATCATCACAACTCAACTCAGGTGAGTCTTCACAATTAATGGTCCTTAAATCATTCATAAAAATACATTCACTTCATCTCTCAATTGTGCTCCTTGACCAGTTGTGCTCCTTAGACATTTCAGGTGAAGATGTCAATTATCTCTTAGTATTAAGTGCCTTAGTTTAAGAACAGGCACATTAAACAAGCTGAGATCTGATTGGGGTACCCTATTTTTGGAAATATGTCCCTTAAGATACTTTCAAAATTAACTGTAAACATATTTTTTAGAGGGAATCAAGAAATGCTTGGAAGAAGACTGCAGAGGCAACAGAATTTTTCTACTGAAAAATATGGAGCTCAGACAATTTTGCATAATGCAAAACAATAGAATTTGTTTCAAAAATAACATTGTACAAAATATATTGACAGTCAAAGAAAAGACTGAAACCAATTAAGAATTGTAACATAGTAATGACTTCCTATTTATCTAACTTAAAATATAATTAGGATGAGAATGGTTTTTTCTTCCAATTTAATGTCTACTGGTTTATATACACTCACTTTATCCATTGGACATACGTAATTTCCATGAGAAATATTGATTGATTTCTAGTCATTAGTATCTGTACGAACATACTGATAAAGCTAAATCATATATACATACATATAAATATAATTATGCAGTTATTAATAACCACATGAAAACTAAACATGGTCATTGATGGTAACTACAATTTAGGTATGTGGGTTAGATAGAAGTACACAATACTTTATTTTTTAGAATTTACAAAAATTGTTGCAACTCTATCTGAAAATGAAATTCTTTGAATGCCTTTTTTTCTGTAGATGTTTCAGTTTTTTAAAGGCAATAATGAAAATGTACACAGTTCATGGTTTTCACCATGCTCATGAGGAGGCTGATGGTTCATGACAGTCATCTTGTACTTTCATCAGTGAAGTCTTTCATGTCATGTCCTTAGAACTTACTACCTGTCGACTTAGCCTTCTCATTGCCAGCTTCATATCTCTGTTCCTTAAAGTATAGATAGCAGGATTTAATACTGGAGTGACAACAAAGTCCACAATGGCAAAAAAATTATCCAGTGACTTTATAGGGAAAGGCCACACATAGAGAAACATGCATGGAACAAAAAACAAAACCACTACAGTAATATGAGCTGATAAAGTGAAGAATGCTTTAGATAAGTCCTTTGAAGAATGTTGTCTGACAGTAGCCAGAATAAAAATATATGATGCAATTAAGAAAAAGAAGGTTCCCATCGAGATGATGCCACTGTTGGCAGTAACCACAAATTCTAGTCTATAAGTGTCCTTGCAAGCAAGTTTAATAACTCGAGGAAGATCACAGTAAAAACTCCCCACATTATTAGGACCACAGAAAGGTAAATTTATGACAAAAGCAAACTGAGACATAGCATGAATCACTCCAGTGATCCAAGCAGCCACTACCAAAAGCATACACATTTTGTGATTCATGATAGTTAGGTAATGGAGAGGCTTGCAGATTGCTGTGTACCTGTCATATGCCATGGCGATGAGCAGCACCATCTCAACTCCTCCCATGACATGGATAAAGAACATTTGTATCATGCAGTTGTGGAAGGAAATGATTTTACAGTCACTGAAAAGATCAGATATCATCCTAGGAATTGTGGTAGATGAAAGGCCTAGGTCAATGAGTGATAGGTTGGCGAGAAGAATATACATGGGGGAGTGGAGGTGAGAATCAAAAATCACTGTGAACACAATGAAGAGGTTTCCCAGAATAATTCCCACATAGAATAGAGAGAAGAAAAAAAAAAGAAAGAGTTGCATTCCTAAGGAATGTGTAAGTCCTAGTAATACAAATTCCGTTACCACAGAGCTGTTTACTTGGTCCATTGAATTTAATTTAATTGGTCCATTGAAGGGGAGATGCTGAAGTGACCTGAAAAAGAAGAGAAGGGTCAACTTAAAGGCATTAAAAAGAATGGGCTAAAATATTGATTGATTAAATTGGTTATTAATGGTCTTTTACTTAATTTTAGGAGATTATAAAATAATGGGCTCTCAGGGTATATCAATTAATGTAATATGACCTGACTTTGAGGAAAGCTATTGCTTTAAATAATCTCATTTATTCAGATATGTGAACTAATCAGGCAACTCAAGCTAGAAAAGAATGTGGAAAAGATGCTCAAGGAATTCAGGTGAGAGAAAATAATAAAAATTAAAACCAAAAATAAAAGTTGAATCCAAGAAAATTTAAAGAGTATATATGAGCATGCAAAAATGGCCTTAAAAATTAAAAAGGACAATCTTTAAAGACAAAATCAAGAATAAGATAATGAAGTAAAAATTTGAAATGAGCATAAAATTCATACTACCAGTTAAGTACCCTCTGAAGCCTATTTCCTAAATGTCCTTAAAAACTATTAAATTCCAGACCTATGCATAAATAATACTTGAACTTGGAATTCTAGACAAAATGTTGATATATTCATAATATTAAAAAAAATCAAACCAGGGGCCTCCCCGGTGGCGCAGTGGTTGAGCGCTGGGTTGCGAAGCTGCCCGCAGCCTCTGCAGCGCCAGTTCAATCCCCGGCTGTTCCCTGGCCACCACAGGAGGGTCCCACATGGCGAGCAGACCTCTTCTGCCTCCTGCTGCTCCCCTCAGCAGTGTACTTCAGTCCTTCTGCCTGTTCTGCTCCCTGCTCTGGCTCTGGTGAATTCTCTCACCCTCCCGCGCTTCTGACTGTACCCAGTGCTTGTATAAATAAATAAATAAATCTTTAAAAAAAAAAAAAAATCAAACCAGTCATTTAAGGCACTAGGACCTAGTAGGTAAACAGACAAATGATATGAAGAGAGAATTAAGAAATAAAAATTATATATGTATATGTATGCATCTACATAAAAATCTTCCTTAGAAATTAAATGTAATCAAATGTAATGCTATTTTTTTCATATATAGAAAAAAGTTTTACAATAGTGCTATGAAAACTGTCAATTTCTTAGTGAAATAGTATCTTCATACATTACTAGAGGAAATATAGATTGATTCAATCTTCAAAGAAAACATTTTGAAATAATATGTCAAGAATCTTAAGTCTATATTATTCGATACAATAATATTCCTTATGGGATTCTGTTTGTACAGAATAAGTTTTTGCTACAAAAGTATTCATCAAACTTTATGGTGGTAAAACTTTGAACAATTTAAATGCCAAAGATTAGGCTTAAAGCTATGCACATAATGGGATATAGTAGTCATTAAAATAAATATTAATAGATAAGTTTATAACAGCATTAGGAAGATGTTTCTTCATAATATCAAGTGCAATAAAGGAAACAGTTTGCATACACCAAAACTTTAAATAACAGTAGTTGTATTTGATATTTTTAGAGCTTTTAAATTCTCTTTTTAGATTTTGAAATATCTTTCAGCATCCCATCACATTTATATTAGTTTTTTTTTTTTATGATAACAGCAAAGATCACAGATCATTGAAGGAATGGATTAGGAAATAAAGCATTTTAATACTCCTCTTATCCTATCAGTAATTTTATAAACTGCCAGAAATTGACTCAGATGAAAACATTTAAAGAGGGGAATACAGGTAAATAAATGAAACTAATTAAACTTCTTGGACGTTGTACAAAACTCTCATGAAGTTGAAACTTCTTAGTTCAACCCATCCAGGTAATTGACCCTGCTTTACTTTGACAAGGGTTAGCCATTTGCAATGAGTTCTAGTACCCACAAAAACAACTGAATCCAATTCACAGTAAGCACCATTATTAATATTGCAGTGGAATATATTAAGAGAGATGCAGCAAATGGTGAAATGAATAGAGGAATTAAAGTGCAATGGGAGAATAGAGGTAATATTTGGGGAAAGCTATAGCTTTTGGAGACAAGTAGCTTTGATTTCTTTCCTATTTCCACAATTTTCAATTATTTTTGTTACCTCTTGATCAATTCTTACATTGCCTTTTGCCTTTTTTCATTATCTAATGAACTTTCAATTTCTCTGTTTTACCATTTTCAATTCATTTTTACTATCACTATATTTCTCATTCATATATAAATTATACATGTTGCAGTGGCATGTGGACAGTGGCTTTTGTGATGGGAATTTAATCAGGGGAGCATTATAGAGTTAATAAAGTCGTCCCTGGGAGGTTTCATGGTAATGACCTCTATTCCAGTGAGCAGAAGTTATTTGGTAACTTCCTAAGCTCACTACTGAATTCAGTGTCTTTGGAGAAATAGTGGACCAAAGAACCATGTTGATTGGTTAAGAAAAATGTTTTACCTGTTAAACTAAGATATAAAACATATAAATCCAATGCTTGGATAATCTCATCATTAAAGTGAATGTTGACATTATAAAAGGAATTAGTCAATTTAAAAAATTCTCACTACTGTTGAATTAATACTCTGAAATAGTTTTTGAGTGGTAAACAAGTGTTTAAATGGGAAATTTTCATACTACCTGAAGCAACCTAAAAGGCTAAAAGTTACCATTTGTAGCATGTAATTTGATCTATGATCTTTAATTATTCTAAAATGGGACATTCACAATACAGAATTACACTATGAGTATAATCAGTGTGGTAGAACAGATAAGGAATAAGCAGGAAAGAAAATCTAAAGAAACAGGAAGAATGAACATGGAATGGAAAAAGAGTAGAACAACAAAAAATGTAGGAGAAGGTATAAGAATTCAAAGGAGAAATTATGAAGATTAAAAAGGTGATCAGAAGAGGCATTGATGTAACTGCATTTCTGCTTAAGCCGTTTGTCATTATTTAAGTCAACACATATTGAAGCGTTATGAATAATTAAGATTGTGAACCTCTTTTGGATTTTTATATACTATTTTACATACATTTTGACTAAAAGGATGGGAAGTAGTAGTGAAGCTGTGGGAAAAAAAGTTACTGTTAGAAAAGTTAAGACTTAGTATATGGATAATAGGTGTGGCAGTGAGGTTTGGTGGTGCAGAGATAATGGTTTAGCTAACTGGCAGGTGAGTCACCTCTAAAAAATTAGGCAATAACTGATCAAAAACATCTCTTTAACATCCAGGAAGTATTTAACTTACTCTAGTTCTGATATTTATAGTTTTAATAAATGTAAAATAAAAGTTCATAATGGGGCCTCCCCGGTGGCGCAGCAGTTGAGCTCTGGGTTGCGAAGCTGCCCGCAGCCTCTGCAGCGCGGGTTCGACTCCCAGCTGCTCCCCGGCCACTGGAGGAGGGACCCGCATGGCGCGCAGACCTCTCCTGCCGCCCGCTGCTCCCCTCCGCAGTGTACTTCGGTCCTTCTGCCTGTTCTGCTCCCTGCTCTGGCTCTGGTGAATTCTCTCACCCTCCCCCACTTCTGACTGTACCCAGTGCTTATATAAATAAACAAATAAACAAACAAATAAATAAATCTTAAATAAAAAAAATTAAAAAAAAAAAAAGTTCATAATGTAGGAACCTTCCCACCCCCTTTGTGCTTTGGTCAACACTGTATCACCTGCCTAAAATAATGCCTGGTAAATGAAAAATCTCAAAAAATTTGATGAATAAATATTCTAGAAATAGGTACTAACTTGTTTAAAGAAGCAAAATAGTAACTGACAAATATGTAAAGAAATTGAATTTAATGATACTTTTCCACAAGCCTATGCTTCCTGTGGACAACCCAAGTATAAAAAAGTAATTATTTAGGTAAATGAAGAAAGTCCCACCCTATCTGTTTCAGACATCTGGAATTAGTATTTATCATTGTGAAGAAATCGTGACTTCAGAAAACTTGTTTGGAGAAAAAGACCATGCATTTCATTTTTCTGCCTTCTTCAGAAACAATGGTGACTTTGTGAAGCTCCCAGGAGTTCTTCAGATTCCAACTCCCCATAGAGTTTGCCATCTTTTCTATTGGAGATTTAAAATTTGTCAGTCTTTCAGGGCCTGGGGGCACATCTTTAAATAGGAAATGTGGATACATATTAAACAGAAAAGATGATTAGAATTATATTTGTACAGAAGTAGAAAAGAACACAGATTTCCCATACATTTACTTCATTCTACAAGTAGAGAAACAACCCAGTGAGGTTAAATGGCTACTCAGTGAATTTATAGCAATATATTTACAGAAATAGAACCAGAAGTCAGCCTAACTTCCAGTTCAGTACTCTTCTTCAAAAATATTGTACACCTGCTTAATATAAAAAATCATTAAAAATCTAGAATTATAATTTTTTTTAAAGATTTATTTTTATTTATTTATACAAGCACTGGGTACAGTCAGAAGCGTGGGAGGGTGAGAGAACTCACCAGAGCAGGGAACAGAATAGGCAGACTGACGAAATACACTGCTGAGGGGAGCAGCAGGCATGACAGGAGAGGTCTGCGCCATGCAGGACCCTCGTCGGTGGCTGGGGATTGAACCGGTGCGGCAGAGGCTGCGGGCAGCTTTGCAGCCCAGCACTCAACTGCTGCGCCACCAGCGGAGGCCCATAAATCTAGAATTATTTTTATTTGGTAGGATTATTCCAATCTAGCTGGAAGAGATTTTTCCACTCCTGAGTTATTTCATTTAAAATAAAACTGGCCTTTCCTTAAAAGACTGTTCCCTTTTTCTTTTTTAAAGTTTTATTTATTTATGCATACAAGAACTGGGGTATAGGCCAGATGTGTGAGGGGTGAGAGGATTCACCAGAGACAGAGTGGGGAACAGAACTGGCAGATTGAATACAGTAGTGGAGGGGGGCGGAGCAACATGGTGGCGAGGAGACGCTGCGAGTAAGATCTCCCATTAAAAAAAGTGAATAGGGAGGAAAAGCTGCAGGTCCCAGTGAGAACTGGGACACGGAAGATAAACGGGTGACGCCAGCGAACTGCCCG